TGACAAAATATCAACTTTCTTTTTGTTCAAAGTCATAAGTCAAAGTTCACATGGAGGAAGACAGGCGGGTCTATGAGTCCATCATCATGCCGGCTCCAGCAGACAGTGGGTTCAGAAGGTTTCGGGAGCCCATCACCCAAAGAGAAGGAAACTTACCTGAGAACCTTGAGCACTTTCCTGTCACGACCTGTTGTGTTCACTCAAGCCTGGGCCTGGGAGAGAGGCCTCCAAATATTAGGCCACTGAGGCATGGCAGATACTGGCAGGCGTGTAATTAGAGAGGGCCAACCCGTAGGTTGGCAGCCCAAGACTCAATATTCCACTGTGAGACTCTCGGGGTTTCTTAGGCCAAGTCTGAGCTCTCTTTGAACCAGCCTTCTGGCCCTCAACACATTCAATTTTTCACCCAAACCCATGTTCCCATCTTCTTACACGGCACTATTTCACTAAGCATATTTCAGAATCACAGCTGACTGTTTTGGAAACTTTTAGTATGAATGGGTTGTGTAAGAGAGCCATAAGGTAAAAAAGGAAGCAAAATCTCAGACATCCGGTGTGGTGCATTTTTTCATTCATATAAGGAAGCTTCCAAAAGGAATTCATATTCCAAAATTATTTTTCTATAAAATTTATGGAGAAGACAAAGTTCATACAGAAGCAGAAAAGACAAATAAACGTGTGAAAAGCTGAAAACTCTCTTGAACCTGATAGTCTTCATCCTGCTTTTTCTCTTCCTCTATGGCAATCCCCATTTCTCTGCCCTGTGCTTTCTTTCTCTGAGCTGCTCCCCTTTCCTTCTTCCTCGACACAGACCCCCAAAACAACACTATCTCTTGAAATGAAGCCACTGCCAGGGCAAGCCCCTAGGACTGAATGAAAGCGCCCAGGCTTCTCCATGAACTGAGTACTGGCAAAGACTTTCAAAACCTACCAGAACATTCAGGGTCTCCTGATTTATATCATTAGTTCACACTGCTAGTAAGAATCTCAGAAAATACTGGGTGAGAAGGGAGAAAAACCAGAGGAGCTTAGGAAACATGGTGAATGTTGGACAAGGCCTCTTGGAGACCTCTTGGTAACTCCAGTCTAGATGCGCCAGCAAGGAAGGAACAGGCTCCTCCAAATTTGCAGGACAGTTCTTCACCACATGTCACCAGCACTCAGGAGTAGCCCTGGAAGCGGCTGTGACTCCAGCTCCCTCCTCACCACCTACAAGGAGCCTCAAGCCAGAAATAGAACATTTATAAATGAGCAAAAATTGACTGGGAAGATCCAGATAGTCAGCTTTTCAACTCCATATTGTATATTTTCCAAGAGCTTAAACACAAAAGTCAAATAAGACCCAGAAAAGGCTGGAGGCTTTACACATAAAATTAAATGCTCCCACTCCAGAAATGAAACATCAATTTTTAAATAAAGACCTGCAGATCTTGTAAACAGAATGATAAAGGGAAAATCATTGTTCTGCAACATGCAAAGAGAATTAAGGGGAAAAACTATAGCAGGCAATATCCCAACAGCAACCCAAGTATCCATTTCCCCTTTTGCCCTCCCACTGACAAGAGGAATTTTCACTAATTATTAATAGGAAATGTGTAATTTTCATCAATTCAGGTAATACAAGATTTACCTTAATTCCTGCCATGATTACAAAAGCACTCCCTCACAGTCAACAAACTACTGGTTCACGGTTATCAAGAGTATCCCTCACATTTCCCGTGTCCCTACCTACAACTGTCACCTTTGGACCTTTAATCAATAGACAGTCCCCTTGTCCAACGAGGCACAACACCCACTAACTTCATAAGAAAAAGTCTACTGTGCAAACAGAAGTGCAGGTTGAATGCCCTCCTGGCCACCCCTCCTTGACCCCCCCCCCAGGGACTCCATATTCACTATCAAATCAGAATTTATCTGAACTGCGTCATCAGTACACTTGGGACTAAATTAAGCCCAAATTGAAAATCTAAAAAGGCCTGATTCAATATCAGAAAAAAAAATCAAAAATATAATGGCAGAAGCATACAGACTGACTAGATCAAGATTCATAACAACTAATCCAAATCCCTACCCGAATCTGCCCAAATCTAAAATGAGATGGCAAAGCTGGACTAATGCCCAACAACTGAAGGTCTGAGAAAGCAAAGATTCATCATAGTCTGCTCAGGGTCTCCCAAGGCTGCGGTCAGGGAGTGAGCAAGCTGCATTCTCACTGAAGGCTCAAGAGGGGACAAATCTGCTGCCAACCTCATTCAGGTTGGACGGTAACATTTGTCTCCTTGTGACTGTATGACTGAGGGCCTCAGCTTTTTTGCTGGCTCTTAGATAATAACAATCAACTTCTGTTACAATTTGTATCTGGAACATCCTCCCAAGGCTCATGTGTTGAAGGCTTGGTCCCCAGACTTCACTGGGAGTGCTACTGGGAGGTTGTACAGCCTTTAAGAGTTAGGGCCTAGTTGGAGGAAGTAGACCACTGAGGGTGAGTCCTTGTAGGACCCTCTGCTCTCTGTCCCTCTCTGCTTTGGAGCTGCCACAGGTAAGCATATTATGCTCCCTGCCATAATGTTCTGCCTCATCACAGGCCCAGAAACAGGTGACCATGGAGAGAAAACTCTGAAACCATGAATCAGCTATTTAAAAGACTTGAATGATTAGTTACTCGGTAGTTCCTGAAGACTTGCATATGAACCAGCGTGGATTTCAGAAAGATCACTAAAGCTGAGATGTTGAGAATTCACTGGATTGGAACCACAATGGAGACCAGTTAGAAAGCTGATGAAGTAATCCAGATTAGATGATGGCAACTGAACTTGGTGTTCACTTGGCAAGAGAAAGAAGTGAACAGATTAGAAAGCTACTAAAGTGAGTTTTCTGAAATTGTATTGATAAAGAATGATTCCAAGTTTTCCAAGTTTCCAGTTTGAGAAAAAAGCATCAAAAATGCCACCACTTTCTTAGGTAAAAAAGAATGAAGGATAAGAAGTTTAGAATAGGCATCAGCAAAATTTGGGGACTATATGGTCTCTGTCTTAACTACCCAGCCCTACCACTGTAGCAGAGAAGAAACCATAGATGATATGCAAAGAAACAAGCATAACTGTGGTCCAGTAAAACTTTAATGAAAACAAGCAAGCATAGGGCTCTAGCAATAATCCTTGGTTTAAAGATAAAGATGATGAGTTCAGTTTTTGACTTGTAACTTTCAAGGTGCCTCAAGGACATTGAGTATTGACAGCTGCTTAAGAAGACATTAGATATGAATTCTGAAGCTCAGAAGATATATCTGGAGTATTTGTTTGATTGTTTATTTATCTGAAGTTTGGCAGAAAAGATGGTAAATGAAGTCATGAAATACAACACAAGAAAATATCCTCCTGAGAATCCAAAAGAAAACCAACAAGTAGGAGTGAAAACAAGAGGGAGGATTTGCAAAAGAACTATGAAGGAGCACCCAAGCAAGTCAAAAACACTCACTAAAAACCAGAACTGAATAATGTGGCAGCAGAAGTTATGTCAAGAAGGAAAGATGACTAGGAGATGCAAATGCTCAGAAGAGATTTAGATAAGGTCAGGATTAAAATTATGTGTTGTACTGAGCAAAAGGGAGGGAGTGCTGGGAGCCTTGGCAAGAGAACCCAGTGGCAGTGAGCAGGGAAGCCAGACTGCAGCAGAAGAAAGACAACTGAAAGGTGTGGTCAGGAAAGCTGTAAGGCAGGTCTAACAGGAAGGGCATCCTGCTTTAGGAATGGAGAACCATCTATGCCTTTCCACTAATCCTGTGTGTTCTGTTCATAGTCACAACTTTCTCGTGCAGCCAAGTGATCAATACTGCTGCAGACTGAGCATTTCTAACACTAATGTAAATACAATGGAAAAAAAAAAGATGATTGTTAAGACAGAAAACAGAAGAACTAATCTGTAAAAACTAGCTTGTAAAGGCTGAGACGGTGAGTCTGGGGTGCGGGAGGAGCCAACTCTATACAAGCTGCAGAAGCCCTCCTCCTTATGAAGAGAGAGAAGGTATGACGTGAATGAAAAAAGACTAAGGTAACTACAGGTGTCCCTCAGTACCACGGAGGACTGTTCCACGCTCTCCCCATCACCACAATACCAGGATCTGAGGATGCTCAGGTCCCTTCTGTGCCATGGAGTGGTGCTGGCATGTTGCCGAGCATATCCCTCCCTACACTCTACTTCAGCCTCCTGCCCTGTGATACGTGAATGACCTGCACAACAGAAAACTGTCCAGCAGGAAATGCCAAACACAACAAAAGCAACATGGAGATTAAGAGTTTTGCAGATTAACTCAGATCACAAGAAGGAAAGTCTCTCTTCTCACCAGAAAAAATAAATGACTTTTCCTGGGATGGGGGGACTCACACATCCAGTTTCTGCATTTCCCCCTTGGCAGCTTTCAGCTGCAAGTCATGTGCGGAATGTTTGGGAATCTAGTCACCCAGGGCTCTACCACTGCCTCACCCAGGGCTCTACCACTGCCTCACCAGGGTTATAATTTATATTGGTAAAGACAACATCACAATGTTCAAAACTTACATGAAATCCATAGATCTGACAGCACCATTTTTTTTTTTTTAAGAGAGAGTGACAGAGGAGAGAGAGAGAGTTTTTAATATTTATTTTTTAGTTCTCGGCGGACACAACATCTTTGTTGGTATGTGGTGCTGAGGATCGAACCCGGGTCGCACGCATGGCAGGCGAGTGCGCTACCGCTTGAGCCACATCCCCAGCCCCTGACAGCACCATTTTCAATCACCAAGTTTTTCTCTCATGAAAGGCTAAGTCAATACTGATTCATTAAATACAATGCTTAAGGCACTTCTCTTTACACTGAAAATAATCCAAGTGTAAACAACACTGATTTTTTTTATCTCATGTATATCCAAAAAAAATGATAATTACATTTCATCCTAGAACTGTCACAAAATGTTTGGTTGGAGGACGGGTATTATAAAGATAACAGAAATACAGTTTCTCACCTTTACTACCCCATCAAAGCCAGGGATTGTGTTAACCTTTGCTTTCTTGGCTAATAATTTGCTTTCAATCTTGTCACCCATGGCTTGAATAGCATGTGTGTCAGGTCCAATGAAAATAACATCTTCTGCTGCCTGCAGAGAAAAACAAGTTGAAATTTATAACAAAAACATTACATAGCATGATAAGGAGTCATAATTTAATTTTTTAAAAACCATACATGTTTGCATAATTACATAATAACTATAATTATTATATTTATATATCAAACTGAAAAGTAAACCTCTGCGCCAACACATTAAAATACACAATGCTGTATTGCTTACAGAACATGTGTACATAGACATATTGAACAAATTCAGGTCACAGAAGATCTGAAAATAATGCAGCAACTTGACAGCAACAGTATTCTTTAGAAAAGCAACCTCTATGACAAGATATTTTTATACAATACCCTGTACCCAATCAAAACAGTAAGTTCACCTTTAAATTGCCTTGTGAATCTTTGTATCCTCAATACCATGCAGCCCAGAACTTCATACAAAATACCCACATATACTGAATGCCAACTCTGTGCCAGGTTTTGAGCTACATGTCAGGGGATAACATGGATAAAGACTACAGGATATTAGCAAATCCAAGGAAACATGAATAACCCAGAAATAAGGAGCAGAATTGTTTTACAACCTGTGACTACAAAAGGTGAGTCAGGAATACAGTGGGAACTCAACAAGAGAGTTATAGTTTCCAATAAATAAATAAATAAGTGAATTGCTCTGTATAAGTTATAACAGCTCTCTGACAACGGGTCTACCTTTGTGTGTTTATGTCATAATCAGCAAAATGGTAGTGGTGAAAATAGTAAGTGGGGACACAATGGAATACAATATAGTTAGAGGCAAGGCAGATGTTGTCTGACATAAAGGATGACATCATTAAGCAAAGAAAGTTAAATATAAAAAAGGAAAAAGCTGATGTGCATTCTAGGCATCCCCTGGGCAGGATGCCTAACTACTGGTTCTTCTAGGACCCATGGTCAGGGTTGGGGTGACCATAAGTCACACTGCTTGTATATCATGTTACGTCACCTGCTCTACCTGTTGGGGTGGCTGCTTGTGAAGATCCTGGCAAGGGAAAGGAGCGCCATTCTCCTGGTAACCAGAGCCCTCACAGCTTGCTGCTTGGACAGGCCTCCGAGCCACAGTGGCGGAAGAGGAGTAAACCCACCCAGAGCAGGAGGTAGAAACAGAACAGGGAATCACAAAAAGAATATGTGAGAAGATACATATTCCGGAGAAGAGATGATGACTTCAACTCTGCACATGTTGAGCTGAGAGGCCCAGGGGACAGTCTAGTAACCCTGTCTGGAAGGCCAATAAGGCAAGTCCAGGCTGAGATAAGAATCATAAAAGGTTACAGAGTATAGGAGGAAGTTAAAAATGGCAACTGAACTCATTCAGAACAAAGGTGTCGAAAAGCCACTGCCTCTACTGTAGGGGAGGAAAAACACCTCTTCACTCTACCCTTCCAAGTTTATGGCTGAGTCATCCACTACTAGTGACAGACTAACAGAACAGAAGCACATGGGTTTATGTACTGTAAGTTTTACCTGACCCACAAGCCCTCATAAGAAAATGAAGACCCAAAGAGAGAGTTAAACTTGAGCATTTCTTATACAGACTTGATAAAGTGTGGTCAGTCATGGGAAATGACAGGGCAATCGCAGTAAACTGGGGAAACTCTCAAGGCCTGCTCACTTACTCGGGCATGCTCTGTGTCCCTCCACCCTTTCCTCCAGGACCAGGAAAGGCCTTACAACCTGTTTAAGAGATACATCAAATAGTAGGAAAGGGGATAGGAAAGGCAGCAGAATACAACAGTCACTAATATGGAATTATGTAAAAATGTGAATGTGTAACCGATGTGATTCTGCAATTTGTATTTGGGGTAAAAATGGGAGTTCATAACTCACTTGAATCAAATGTATGAAACATGATATGTCATGAGCTTTGTAATGTTTTGAACAACCAATAAAAAAAAAAAGAGATACATCAAAAAAAATCCCTAGGTTTATAGTCTGCTTGACAGGAGAATGATGGAAAAGGGTTCTGCTTTTGTTATTTTCTCAAACTCCTTCAGCTCACAATATTCAATATGCCTAGAGGTCATATTGGGGTAACTGCCTGAGGCCCATCAATTATAAAGTGAAGCACCAAGCTGTATACCACAACTATTAGGTGTTTGTTTTTTCTGGAACAGAATTTTTTTGTTGTTCTTTTTAGATAAACATGGCAGTAGAGTATATTTCGACATATTATACATACATGGATATAACTGATTCTAATCAAGATCCCAGTCTTGTGGTTGTACAGGATATGGAGCTTCACTGACAACTATTAGGTTTTCTCTACTACCCAGAAGTCCCAACAGACAGCGAACACTAGAATAAGACACTTCGGTCCGCAGAACTCCAATATAGACTATAGGAATCCAAATACCTACAATCATTAGTATTCCAAATGGCAAATTTGGGGTAAGAAACTTCTTTAGCCACAAAAGATGCTCATAAAGTACCTCTCCATGAAATGTTTGAATCTAGTTTTAGCAGAACCTATTGTCATTAAAAAAATCTTATACAAAATCATAAAAATATAAAACACATGAAAAGTGGAGCTGTTGTACCTGAGAAGAGTTGGCAGACCCAGCACTCCCTGCAAACCAGGTCTCCATCTTTATAAGCCATCCATTATGGACCAGGGCAGTAATCATACTCGTTTCTCTTTATCCCAAACCTGCCACTCACTAAATGCTATGAAAGGCAAGAGGGGACAATCATGCTTCCACACCAATTGTCTTTCCATATTCTCATTTTACCTGCTAAGACAGAAAAACTTCATTATAAACGCTGTTTTAAAAACCACTATGCCAGGCAGATGTAATCAAGCAATCAGAATACCCACACAGATGGAAGAGACAATGTAAATGAGAACATCCAAAATACATCATGATTATAGAGTAAAACTTCTGATTAACAGGAGCCTGACGACCTGGACCACTGATTAACCAGATTTGTCTCGTGTATTCTAATTTGAGGAAAATTGCTCACCCCAAAATGCAAAATTGTCCAGAAAAATGCTCACATCAAGTATTTAGTAACTATTCTTTGTCCCATCCAACACAAAGGAAAAATAGCCACTAGTGTGGTGGGTGACTGTTCAAACAAAGGTTCCAAAGAACTAGCTCCTTCTTATCCATGTATGGAGGACTCCCGAGGTTGGCCCTCACATGCAATTCAAGCAAAATAAGAAAGCAACATCCTAGTATCCCAACTTCCATAATTCTATGACCCAAAAAAAAAAAAAAAAAAGGAAGAATGAGATCATGGAAAGAGAATACTGATGAAGCATGCCTCAGAAGTTAATACAATACACATTCTGTTAAAACATACCTGTTAAAAAAACCTGTGAATAGGGCTGGGGATATAGCTCAATTGGTAGAGTGCTTGCCTCACACCCACAAAGCCTTGAGTTCAATCCCCTGCACCACCAAATGAAAAAAAAAAAAAAAACTGTGAATATACACACTTTATCTTCCAGCACTGTCAATTTAAAGGACTAGAAGAAATGATCAATCAATCCATAGAAATGACCATGCCTAGCACCCCAACTGTGGTCTCCAAATACCACTCAAAGAAACTAACATGAAAAAGAGAAACAAACAAACCAAGGCATCTTGAAACAATAAAGCTGTTTTAGATTAAAAGGAAATAATTACTATAAGAGTCAAAGTCGTGGGGACATTCATAGAGAGAAGTTGGAGGTGAAGATTGAGAGGAATGGGCTGGGGTGTAGCCCAGTGGTAAAGCACTTGACAAGCATGCATGAGGCCCTGGGTTCCATCCCCAGCACTGCAAAGAAAACAAAGAAAGAAAGAGACTGGGATGGGTCACATGGGCAGGCCTTCTGGGATCAGATCAACTGTTTACATCTGGATGACAACTGCATGCTTACTTATTTGCCCTATAATACGTCATAAGATCAGGCATTCCGACCTACTAGTGTTTGCCAAGAAAGAAACTGCCCCATGCCATAAGGTTGCTGGAATCGCAGACAGCTGGGTCTGGACTTTCTAAGCACCCGAAACAGGTACCTCAGGCCACTTGTGCCAGCTCTACAGAGGGCTGCCCAAGCAGTGACAGAGGAGAAATGGATGAATGGGAGGCCTGGTCCTGCTTTCCTTTCCTTTCCTACCTCCAGTGGATTTGCTGGTGGGCAACCATGCTATACTGCATGAGTGCCACAAGCTGTATTTCATTAAGCCTTTGGTAACAGCATATTACACTGTGCTGTAAATGTGGCAGACACAACCTGCAAACAGATTTCTTATTAAATGTAAATAGTTTTTGTTTCCAACAAGGCAACTACTGGTCCTTCAATGTAATATTACTTAACCTTTGGGTGCTTTCTTTAAAAAACTGAAAAACAAATGAACAATTCATTTTAACACCAGTAAGGAATTTTAGGCACATTAACACCTGAGCTCCTAAGATTTACTGTGTAAGAAAGGGCAGGCTTGTCCTCCAGCTTAGGAAATGCATGCTGAAATCTATGTTGGTCTTTTTTTTTGTAATGGACCTTTATTTTATTTATTTATATGCGGTGCTAAGGATCAAACCCAGTGCCTCACACATGCCAGGCAAGCGCTATACCACTGAGCCACAACCCCAGCCCTCTATGTTGGTTTTTAACGTAAACTCAGTGTACTTTAAATGTTCTCTCCCCACCATGATTATTTTTTAAACAGAGAAGGGAGGCACATTCCTACTGCAATATTTATGGTCGTGAAAAAAATACCAGTCCGGTGGGTAAGGAAAAGCTCCGCCACCACTACTACAGAGTATCCTAGAAGGCCTGAGCCCAGCACTGAGACAACACAGGTTGGAGAAGGCCAGAGTGTGAATCCCAGTTGATCCTCCCCAAAACTGAATGGCAACACCCTCTAAGAGCAGAGCAACCTGAAGCAGGGTGCCCTCAACCAGCACAAAACCTATCTTCTTCCACTGTTGGTCAACTCATGATAAACTAAGAACCCAATTTATATCCTAGGGATGTAGCTCATTGGCACAGAATTCGCC